AGCCTGGGTAACAAGAGTGAAACTCCGTCTCAAAAAAAAAAAAAAAAATACAAAATTAGCTGGGCATGGTGGCTCCTGGTGGCCTGTGCCACGGAGCGAGCCTCTGTCTCTAAATAAAACAAAACAGGCGAACTTTATGGTATATAGATTGCATCTCAATAAAGCTCTTGAAACACAGGACAAGCGCCTTCTGCTCTTTCTGCCTTCCCAGGCTTCAGGGGAGGGGAGGAGTGACCTCCAGCACCCGCCCCCCGGTGACAGGGCCCTCCTCGACCCGAGGCGGAGGCGCTGCGGCCGCCAGCCCTGCATCCCGGCGGCCTCGGTGACGATTCCTGCAGCCATCGCCGCCGAGGGGTCTTGCACCACCAGGCCCCTTTAGGTGGACAGTGGCTTTGTCCTCCCGACAGCACGTGGGTTGCATGTCCGCCTTTTCAGAAAGACGAGCCTCAGATGCTTTTCAACTCAGCCAGTGGAGCCTGGTCTCGAACCGGCTCTCATCCCTGGCGCGTCCAGGCTGGGATTCGATTTTCAAGGGCACGGTCCCTTTAAGAAGGGGCGGGGCCTCGCGAGAAGCGGCGGTGGGGGGGGCGGTGCTAGAGGAGGCCGGAAGCGCGCCTCTGGCGTTCGGGGACGGGGCGGTTCTCCGACCGGAAGCGGAAGTGGCTGCCTCGCCGACGCTGGAGTCCTGGCTGCTGCGCTCAGGTGAGGAGGCGCCGGCGGCTGTGCTGACCGCTGGGAAACTGAGTCAGAGGTTGAGCCAGACCCTGAAGCCTTGGCCACCGTATTGTTGGGCGGAGGGAGGGTCAGGGCCTGGGGCGAGGCCGGAGGGAAGGGACAGGGCGGGCTTCCCCAGGAGCGGGGCCGCGACGGGTGTGTAGGAGTTCGCTGGGCGGGAGGAGCGGTCCGGGCAAAGGCGGAGAGGTGGACGCCCCGGTCACGCTCCCTTCCCCGCCTGCAGAGATGGGCTCCAAGGCCAAGAAGCGCGTGCTGCTGCCCACCCGCCCAGCGCCGCCCACGGTGGAGCAGATCCTGGAGGACGTGCGGGGGGCGCCGGCAGAGGACCCCGTGTTCACCGCCCTGGACCCGGAAGGTAGGGGAGCCCGGTCCCGGGGAAAGGCAGACCTGAGACCCGGCCGCGACGGGGAAGGGGCAGAAGCCCTAACTCCACGCCCTGGGCACCCCGGTGACGTGGGCACGGGCCTTGTCCTCTTAGAGTGGGGCCCATTGTCAGAGGGTCCTTCAGAGAGGGAGGAGGCCGGGCGCAGTGGCTGAGGCCTGAGGATGAGGCGGGAGGATCGCTTGAGCCCGGGAGTTCGAGACCAGCCTGGCCAACATGGTGAAACCCCCGTCTCTACTAAAAATGCAAAAAAAAAAAAAGAAAAAGAAAGAAACATTAGTTGGGCATGGTGGCAGACGCCTGTAATCCCGGATACTCGGGAGACCGAGGCAGGAGAATAGCTTGAACCCAGGTGGCAGAGGTTGCAGCGAGCCGGGATCGCGCCACTGCACTCCAAACCTTCCCAAAATGAAAACCCCCTCCTAAAAAAAAAGAAAAAAAAAAAAAAAAAGACCTGACGTGATGGCTCACACCTGTAATCCCTGAATTTTGGGAGGCTGAGGAGGGTGGATCACTTGAGGTCAGGAGTTTGACATCAGCCTGGCCAACATGGCGGAACCGTCTCTAAGAAAAATACAATTAGCCGGGAGTGGTGGCAGGTGCCTGTAATCCCAGCCACTCGGGGCTGAGGCAGGAGAAGCACTTGAACCCGGTGGGGGAGGTTGCAGTGAGCCGAGATCGAGCCGCTGCACGCCAGCCTGGACAGCAGAGTGAGACTGCGTTTCAAAATAAATAAATGAATGAATGAAGGAATGTAAACCGGGGTGGTGAAGTAGGGCTGGACAAACCCTGCCACTGCCCCTTTTCATAAGGCCCGGGAGCTGTGAGTGGACTTTTCATTTGTAAACGGGGGCAGGTGAAAAAGAACATTTCTGACACCTGAGGGAGGTAGGAAACTCAGGTGCGGTGGCTCACGCCTGTAATCCCAGCACTTTGGGAGGCCGAGGCGGGCGGATCACCTGAGGTCAGGAGTTCGAGACCAGCCTGGCCAACATGGTGAAACCCTGTCTGTATTTAAAAAAAAAAAAGAAACTCAGATTTCATTGTTGATAAAGAAAGGCTTACGGCACACAACCAAGTCATTCACATATGGTTAGAGGCTGCTCTCACTCCAGAAGGGCCGAGTTCAGTAGTGGCCTTTGGCAGGAAAGCTTGTCCACCCAGATTCAGGAGGTGGAAGCAAACCAGAGAACAAAGGGTTCGGCAGTGCAGTGGTTGGGTGAATTTTGTGTTCTGGATGAGGCTCATTGGTTAATTTAACAAGTCTTAGCCGGGCGCGGCGGCTCACGCCTGTAATCCAAGCACTTTGGAGGTCAAGGTGTGCGGATCACAAGGTCAGGAGTTCAAGATCAGTGTGACCAACATAGTGAAACCCCGTCTCTTAAAAAAAAAAAAAGTCGTGGATGATAGAAACTGAATTTCTGTGGAAACACTTTTAAGAAGTTAATGCTAGAAAATTCTGGACCAGGTGCAGTGGCTCATGCTTGTAATCCTAGCACTTTGGGACGCCGAGGTAGGAGGATTGCTTGAGACCAGGAGTTCACAACCAGCCAGGGCAACATGGCAAAACCTGTCTCTACCAGAGATATACAAATTAGCTGGGTGGGGTGGCATGCACTCTGGTCTTAGCTACTCAGGAGGCTGAGGCAGGAGGATTGCTTATACCCAGGAGTTGGAGGCTCCGGCCTGAGTGACAGAGTGAGACCCTGTCTCTAAAAAAGAAAGAGGGAAAGAATATCAGTTGGTTTTTCCATTCAGGCATATTTAAATGCCCAGGAGCCGCCTGTGGCTGGCGGCCGCTGTGTGGCCAGCACAGGTGGGAGGTGTGCGCATCATCTGGAAGGTTCTGTCGGCCAGTACCGGTCAAGGCACGTGAGTTGGGTTTATTCCCAGCATGCAGTTGGGTCGTCTGAGGGTGCTGGAGCCGTGGTTTCAGCGTCATGGGCCCGGGGCCACGGCCGTTTGAGTGGAGAAACTGAGGCATGGCTGTGCAGGGGCTCACAGAAGGTAGAGGGGCCTCGTGGCTGGCCTGCCTTCATCCGTGAGCACCGTGGGGACTTTCCCACCCTGTTCCTAAAGCAGGAGGTGACAGGTGATTCCATCGCCCCGGCCTGTGTGGCACATGTAGCCTTCGTCAGTAGGAGGCCAAGGGCCAGGCCAGAGCCGAGCGGACCCTGTCGCCTCTCTGCATGACCCCGAAGTGTGTGCCGCTTCCGCCCTGCTGCAGGGGGCTTGCACGCTTTGGGGGGCAGGGCGCCTCACGTGGTTTCCCCTATGTGTAAGAGTCAGCAGGGAGTGGGTGCCCCGCCTTCACCTTCGCCGGCCAGCCTCCCCAGGTGTGGGTTCCGTGAGGCTGCAGGCCCTGGAGAGGTTTTCGGAATGGAACACCGCCCACAGGAGGGCCACCGCTGGCTAGGCGTGAGCTCTGTGACCTGATCCCCTGGTGACATGCTTTGTTAAGGCAGATGGCCTAGAGCTGGAAGCCTGGGCGCCCCCCCCCCCCCGCTCATGGGCCAGGAAGATGCTGTTATTTGGGTTTTATTTATTTATTTTGAGACAAGGTCTCGTTGTCACCCGGGCTGGGGTGCATGCCACAGTCGTAGGTCACTGCGGCCTCGACCTCCCAGGCTCAGGTGATCCTCCCGCCTCTGTGCCTCCAGAGAAGTTGGGATTTTGGGATTATAGGTGTGTGCTACCATGCCCGGTGAATTTTTGTGTTTTTTGGTAGAGATGGGGTCTCACTGTGTTGCCCAGGCTGGTATCTGACTTCTGGGCTCAAGTGATCCTTCAGCCTCCACCTCCCAAAATGCTGGGATGATAAGTGAGAGCCACCACACCTGGTCACTTCCATCTTTTTAAAGACTCCGGCCAGCAGCTCACTCTGGGAATGTGGGGACGCGTGTCCTTTGGGGGCCACAGTGAGGCGTACCCAGGCGGCTGCCCTCCGGGGTTCCCTGGTCAGCGGGTAGTGATGCTGCTGTGTCCTGTCCCAGACCCCGCAGTCCCCTTCAGGATGATGGAGGACACGGAGGCCCCGGGGGAGCAGCTGTACTGGCAGAGCCGGGCCTACGTGGCTGACAACCAGCGGCTCCGGCAGGCGGGCGACGCACTGAGGCAGAGGTGTGAGCAGCTGCGGCGAGCCGGCGAGGACCTGGAGCGGGAGGTCGCCCAGATGAAGCAGGCGGCAGTGCTGGGCGCCGAGGCTGCCTTTTGAGGCAGACGTATCGGGTCCTGCAGGCCTGGGTGGTGCACAAGGTGGCCCCCTCCCAGGCTTTCCCTGTGGGTCTGTCAGCCCCAGACCGGCGTTCACTGGGCCCCAGCTGGCATGGTTAGCAGACACGGGTCCCCTCCTGACGCTGTGGCTGCGGTTCATCTGTCGTCCCATTCGTGCCCAGTTGGTCGGACCCACCCAGCTGGCTGTGACCTGAGGGCCCAGTGGGATTCCTGACAGGATGAGGACATCACTGTCCTGCCGGCGTTCTGCCCTCGGCTTGCGGTGCCCGTGATCTGAGGTGGGGCCTCTGGGAGCAGGCCCCTCCTCCTTCCTCCCCAGGGACCAAGGTGTTAACCGTGATTCCGTCCAGCGGGTGCCCACCCGGCATCAGAGCAGCCTGAGGGCCAGCACCAGCCCGACGTCACTTCCCGGTTCTGGGCTCAGCCACGTGCCACGTCAGTCTTCACAACCACCCTGGGCTGCTGGGGTCACCCAGAGCAGCAGCACTGAGGCCTGGCCAGGCTCCCCGGCTCCCCGGCCCGGCTGGCCCCCAGGCCCTGCTGTTGCTGGGGCAGCTCAGTCACCGGCCAGGAGCCCAGGGAGTCGGGCCTCACAGCCACCCTGGCGGCTGGAGCAGGTCCTGGGCCTGCTCCCTGCGGGTTCTGGCCCTCCCAGGGGAAGGGGCGCTAGGGTGGCAGAGGGTCTTGCCAAGGGCTTTTCATCTTGTATGTCAGCTGGAGTGGAAACCTGGACAGGTGCCCCCGAGGCCAGCCCTGCACATAAACGCCTTCCTGTGTGTGGCTGTCTGAACGGTGCCTCTGTGAGCGGCTCCATCCTGGGGCCCTGGAAGCTGGGGAGGGACGCGAGCCGGAGATCCCGGGAACGCTGCCCCATCCAGCCCGGTGCTGTGTGCAGGGACCGTCTGCCGGACCCAGAGACCTGGGGCTGCCTGGGCCTCTCCAGACCCACAGCCAGCCTTGTTTCTGGAACATACAGGATGTTTCTTGTTCCCTAAAGGAAGGGGGCCTGCCACACACAGCCTGGGAGGCACCTAACCCAGCCTGGGCCCCCAGGGGCTTCTCACTGGTCCCTCCTGTGAGCCGCTCACCTGGCCAGGAGAGGTCCCAGTGGGGACCCAGGGTGGAAGGTGGGCAGGGGAGTGGCTCCCGTCAGCCCTTCCTGCCTTGCAGCCTGTGCTGCTCCCAGTCAAAGCCTTCCTTGTCCCCTCTGGGCCAGGGCTGTGCCCCCTGAAAGTGGCTTTGACATGGGGCTGTCCCTCCTCCCCCAGCCCAGGTACCCTTGGCTCCCTCCCAGCTCTTGCAGCTGCCGCAGCCCCTGGTGACTCGTGGGTGCCCGCTGCCTCACACTGGGCCCTGCTGTAGTAACTGCCCAGGTAATGGACCCAGGTGGGACCACCTGGCTGGGGTGTGTGCACCCCCGGAGCCCACTCTCCCTCGGGACCCGGGGGAGACTCCTGGCCTCACCTAGTGCCTCCCCTGCCCCTCTGCGGGTGCCCCCAAGTAAACCCTGTGCTCGCAGCTTCTGCTTTCTGACTCTGCTTCCAGGGACCTGACCCAGGGCGGGGTCTTCTCGGGGATTCTGGGCAGCGCGTAGACAGCGATGAACCCGCCCCACCCGCAGCCTGCGGCCCGTTTGCGGAGCAGCAGTGGTGGCGACGGGCAATTCAACAGCTCAGTTTATTAAAGGTGTGCGGGAGTCAGACAGCTGACGGGTGTCATCCTTACGCTGAACAGATGGCTTACGTTTAGGGGAGGACAGGCTGTCACTATTTACACGTGTGTTTAACACTGCAGAGACCCAGTACGGAAACATGGGGCGGCGGCTAGCGGACTCTGAGACAGACCAGGCGCGTCGTGGGGGCTGGGCTGGGGCAACAGCTGGGGCGGGGTGAGGTAATGCTGTCAGAGCTCGGGCGGCCCGTGCTGGTGGGCACGGTGTCCCGAGTTCAGCACCCACATGTGGCGGTGTTGGGGGTCCAGTGGTGGTCACTGTTATCCTCAGGACGTCTCCGCCCTCCCTTCGTCCTGGCCCCGCAGCCGGACACTCTCCATTTCTTAGGACTGGCCCCGGAGTGTCAGGGGGCAAATGGACCCCTTGTCACCCTGGTGCAGGGAAGCCGGGTGGCAGGCAGGGGCTGCAGTGGAATGGAAGCCTTGAGGTGGGTGTCATTTGAGTCCTCCCACCTGGACCTGATTGTCTGGAGACCGCTGGCTGCCCGTCCCCTCCTGGAGACAGCCAAGACCGGGCTTTGAGGTGGCTGTGGCCCCGGAGGCAGGGGATGCCGAAGGCAGAAGTGAGCTCAGGACTTGGGGTGAGGGTGGGAGACAGGGCCAGCAGCCATACTGTGCACCCTGCTGCCGTGCAAGGCGGGTCAGGTCCTCTGGCTCAGCCTTGGAGGAAGTAAGTGCCCGGGGCGGGTCAGAGGGGAGGCAGCACGGGCAGGGTCTGGCCAGACTCAAGTTCTGTGAGCACCAGGCGTCTCCCCCATCATCACTGCCACCATGCCTGCCCAAGAGGTAGCTCTGGGAGTTCCCCACGGCCCACGTGGGGAAACAGGCACGGAGCCGGGAGAGCACCACCCAGGGTCTCACAGTGCGTGGGAGGCCGTGCCTCACCTCGTCCCTGCACAACCTGGCCCTGCCACCAGCGACCTGGTGCTGTCTGCAGTTTCCCCACCCCGTGGCCACGTGGGACGCGGCTCACTGGGGTGAGGGTGAGCACATGTTTGGCATCCCCAACTCCAAAAGCTCGGAAGAGACCACCAGGGTCCCCCTCAAGCCAGGGATGGGGACAGCAAGTTTGAGACCCCCCAACCTCCCATGTCCTGAAGGGGGGGGGTGTGCCCCACTCAGCCTGCATTCTCTCCGCTTTCTGTTCGGGCACCTGCGGCCCCTTTGCCGAGAACAGCCCGACATGCGCCGCCTCGCCTGGCCGCGGGGTTTCAGGGGGAGTTTGGCACCTCTAGCACCTGCCTGGTGGTGCCCCCTCGGTGACTTAAGCAGGGCACGGGCCCAGAGCACAGGATGTGACAGAGAAGGAGCAGCATTAACTGGGGGTACAGGCTAGGGTCCACTTCACTCAGCAGCCCTGAATTGAGGACAGCTCCCGCCAGAAAGCTGGCCCCGTGCATGCTGGGGACGGGTCCGGAGGGATGGTGGTATCCGTGACCGGGCCGGGGTTTCCATCCACCCAAACCTCAAACTCTGCTTCCCTCCTCCCGGAGAAGGCCCGTGGGGCAGTGAGCGTGTGCCCTCGGCCCGAGCAGATCCGCGCGTGAAGGCAGCGCCTGCCCGAGCTGGGATTCTGCAGAAGAGAGGTCGTTGGCTCCCTCTGCAGGACGAGGCGTTGCCCCAGTCCCAGGGCCCCGCCCTTGCGAGTCCCGCCCCATGCACAAGGCCCAGCTCCCGACTCCCCAGCCCGGGGCTGAAGCACCTGAGCCCCCAGGCCCCTCTGCCAGCTTTCGCCTCATTGGCACCAGATACTCTCCAGCCCTGTGTTCGCCTGCGGGGAGGCCCCCGGACCTCCCGTCTCGTCCCAGAGTCCCGAGTGCAGGGCGAGGGTGTGTCCCCGGTGCCCCCGCCCCAGCTGTGCCGTCCCGAGTCCTAGGGCGTACGATTTATGCATCATGATCCACAAGGGAACAGAAAGCGGACAAGGTCAGCAACGGCGCAGTCCTGGGCACTGACCGCGCCCACATATGGTGGTCTCCGTAAAGTGCAGTCTCTGCTGGGTAGAGTCCAGCGCGGGCCCCGGGCCCAGGGCCTCAGTCTCCTTCCCATTGGTCTCGCCCGCCGCGGCTGGGCTAGGCCGGGACGATCTGACCCCAGCGACCCCTGGGGTCGCCCCAGCTGGCAGCCAGCATCTCCTCTGGGGTCTAAATGTCAGCCGTCCCTCCGTCTGCACCAGGGTCCTCTCCCATCGTGCGCAGCCCCCTGCCTTCCAGTCTTCCGTCAAGGGGTGCAGCAGGCATGGGGATCTGTTGGCGCTTGCCCCTCCCACCCCCACTCTCTCGGCTCCACAGGGGAGCTTGGGCTCGGGGTTCCCTGAACACCGTCTGGGCGGGGCTTCCCGCCGGGGCTCGGCCACACCCCCACCCCGCACTCCGACAGCTGGGGCTGAAGATGAAAACAAACCCTGTAAAGCCCTCATTAGCGAATTAGCCGCGGCTGCCGTGATTACAGGCTTTGCCCCTGCGCGCCGCCGAGGCCCCCAGCTGGCAGGCCCGCCATAGCGCCGCCCTCTACCAGCCTCGCCCCATCCTGCGGCGGGCGCCGGCACAACCTCAGTGCTGCCCCTTCGGAAGCAGCGGAGCGGGACCGGACCCGGACCCGGACCCGGACCCGGACCCGGACCCGGAGGCTGCCCCTCCCTCGCCCGGGGTCAGGCAACGGCTCCCGACAGGGGAAGGGCCGCGCGCTCAAAGGTGGGCCACGGCGCCCTTGCCAGCGCCTCACGGCCGGGACTTCGACCCCACGGCACAGAGGCAAGGTCTTCCGGTGAGGCGCGAAGCCCCCTTGGGCTGGGCGGGGGCTCAGTGGGTGGTGGGGCTCGGCTGGGCAGAGGCCCTGGGGCGACCTATGGGGGCATCTACAGCGCAGGCCCGTGGGGCAGCCAGACCCGGCCGCAGGGCCGGGAGAGAACGTTCCAGAAGGCCAGCCTAGGCCTCTATTCCAGGAGGCTGGCCGAGGCGGTGGCCGGGGCTTTCTCCGCGGCTGAATCGGTGGTGGCTGTAGCCACCATGGGGCTGGGCACATAATTGAAGGGGGGTACTCGGGCCGAGCGGCTGGGGGAGCCGTGCCGACTGGCGGGGAAGCCCCCTACGGCGACCCCCAGGCCCTCGTGCACGAAGGGTGCAGAGATGGGAGCCTTGGTGACGCCGGGCCCGTCCACGTCGCTGCCGAGGAGGGAGAGCGGGGCGCCGGCGGGGACTCCAGGGGGCTCCCTGCTCTCCAGGCTCGGGGACGTGCTGGAGTTGGTCTTGGGGGCGGTGACCTCCTCTGTCTGGACGACGGCGTCGCTGGTCTTGCGCGGCGGGGGCGCAGCCGGGGCGTCCTCGGGCGTGGAGCTTCGCAGTGGCAGGGCTGTGGCCGGCAGCGTGCTGCGAAGGATGTGGGGCACGTCCTCGTCTCGGATGCGCCGCCACGTCGTGCCTGGCGCGGCCACTCTGGGGAGCGGCCGGGGCTCCCCGTCGCTGCTGCGGCGCGGCGCGTCGGCGTCGGCGGGGGCTGCGGGGGCGGCGCTGTCGGGCCTGCGGGCCACGCTGATGTGCGGCAGCGACGCGTAGCGCTTGACCGTCTCGGGCCGGGCGGCGGGCGCGCGCACGGGCAGGCGGGACGGGCTCTCGGAGCTGGTGCGCCGGGCCGGGCGCTCGCCGGGGCCGGATCGGGTCGCTGGGGGCCGCTGCGGGGCCGCAGCCTGCCGGGGCGCCGTTCGGAGCTCTTCGCAGCGTGAGGAGCAGAGGAAGACGGCGGGCAGCGCGGGTCGGCCGCGGCGGGGCGAGGCGCCCTGCGGGGCAGAGGCCGCGGACTCAGCCGAGGACAGCTCCGAGCGGCGGCGCCGCAAGCCGGGCGACTCCTTGATGAAGGTGAGTTGTCGCCGGAAGCCTGAGCGGTCGGAGGACTCGCTGCCGCTGGAGAGGGCCGAGGCCACGCGCACGAGGCCTAAGCGGCCCCCGCGCGTCCCTGGGCCCGCCTCGGCCCCCGCCCGGCCCCTGGGGCCCGGCTCCGGGACTGCCCGAGCCAGCGCTGGCGGCCCCCGCCGGGCTGGCCTCTGCATGAAGGGGATCCGCACAGGCGACCTCTGTGTCTTGTGCTGCTTCGCCAAGAGGGTGCGCGCCGGCGTCTTGGGCATCGGGGAGGCCCCGGGGCCGGGCATGGGCCCGGCAGGCTGGGTGACTTGGGGGCGCTTTCTGGGCAGGGGCTGGGAGGCGGGCGAGGTCTGAGAAGAGCTGGAGGAGGGGGTCTTGGCGAGGCGGGCGGGTGGTGTGGCACTCCTGGGGGGTTGGCTGAGCGTCGCCAGCTCCGAGGTCTTGCCAGGCCGGTGTAGGCTCCTTGACCGCTGCTGTCCGGGGCTGGGGACTTTGCCTGGAGCCGCGGCCTGTGGCAGGCAAGGGGGCGCCACCTTCCGCGGTGTGGTGCGGGGGCCGGGGGTCCCTTTGTGCTGGGCCCGGGGTGCTGGGCTGGGCACGTAGATGACTGTTCGTCCCCGGAGCACAGCGGGCACCCCGGGCGTGGTCTTCTGTGTGCCACGTGGCTTCTCGGGGCCCGCAGTGGAACGGGAGCTTCCGCTGGGCTTCGCTGAGGCTGTGCCCCGCTTCTCTGGCCGCCGGGTATTGCCGGTTTCGCCCCCTGCCTGTCGTCCCTTCCTGTGCTTGGGGGCCTGCAGGGTGGAGCCCACCGACAGCCCAGATACGAAGGACAGGATGGAGTCAGACTCAGACGAGGCCTCGCGAGTGGCAGCCGCCGCCTGGTGCAGCCACGTGACGATGGAGTTGGCGCCCTCCTGGATGGCTCGCCACTCCACGCTGTCCAGGTCTGAGGCCCGGTCCGAGCCCGCTGCCTCCTCGCCACGCTCCCGGGATCCCTCTGCGGGCCGTTCATCCAGCCGCGTGGTGCGGGGCTTGCGGCGCCGCAGGCCGGACACGGGGGGCCGGCGTCTGGGCAGGGCCGAGCTGATGCAGCGCTGCAGCAGCTCCTCCGCGGCCCGAGGGCTGGGCGAGCTGTCAAGGCGGCCTCCCGGGCCTGGGTCCTTGGTGATTGAAGGCTCCCGGGCTCGTGGACGGCCAGCCAGCGGTGCCGGTGTCTCCAGGGGCTCGGGCTCACTGAGGGAGCTGGCCGAGGAGCTCAGAGAGTAGCAGGGCGGGGTCTCGTCTGCGATGAGGCTGGGCTGGGCCCGGGCGGGCGGCAGGGCGGACGGTGCTGCCTTGGACGGGGCATGGGCCTCCTTCCGGCCGTGAGGGCGCTCCCGCGTGAGCGCGCGGGGAATGGCCGACGTGCGCCGGTGGGTGGGCGTTGGTGCGGCCGCCGGGGGCTCCTCATCGGAGTCATTGCCGTAAAAGCAGTACACGGCCTCCTCAGTGGGCGTCGTGAGGCACAGTGACTGGAGCGCTGCGTCCCCGCGGGTCCTGCCCAGCTTCGAGCCGTCCTTGTCTGCGGGGGAGCTCGGGGGCCGGCCCAGGGGCAGCTCCAGCCCGGCTCGGTTCTTGCCCGCACCCTGGTGGGCCTGCTCTGCGCTGCGGCCGGCGCCTCCCGCCTTGTGCCGGTGCCCCCCAGGCTGCTTGGCCGATGTGGGGCGGCCGGTGGGTCTCTGCTTGCCCGCTGGTCCCCCAGGCTGGTCTTTGGGGGGTCCCTGCAGCGTTTCGTCGCTGAGGGAGGCGGCGCTGGAGAAGTTGACCGGCGTGCCCTCCGCGGAGTCAGTGCAGGAGTCGTCCTCCTGGGCCCGGGCCGGGGCCGGAGCGGGCACCAACATGTAGACGGGCACGGGCAGCGCGCGGCGACCTGGCACCAGCGCCGAGGCCACCTTGCGCAGCCGGGCAGGCACGGCGGCCCCCAGGCACTCCCGCAGCAGTTCCAGCTCCTGGTCTGCGGCCCCGCGGGGTCGAGAGCCTGTGGGCGCCGGCCCCTCCTCTCGCCGGCGGTGCCCCGCGAAGTGGAGGCCGGCGCCCCCCGCACCCCCGCCGCGTTCTGGGCAGGCCGAGGGCAGCAGCCGCAGCTCCACGTCCTGCTGGACATAGTGCTCGTGCAGGGCCAGTGCGCTGAGGCTGGAGGCGCATGAGAAGTTCTCATCCGGCTTCTCCACGGTGAAGCGCACGCTGCCCGCGTCCAGCTCCGACGGGAGCCGGCAGCGTTCGCGGCAGTCCGCGATGTCGAGGAAGCGCTTCACGTAGCTCTCCCACTGCAGGCTGAACTGGCTGGCCTCGGGAGGACCTGCTGGCGCGGGCGCCAGCGGCGGCGTCTTGCTCCGGCTGGGCGGCATGGTCTGCCCAGGGCTGTCGGGCAGCTCGCTAGGGCTGATGGTGCCGCTGCCCTGCCCGCTGCAGGGATCACTGGGGATGGAGCTGGCGATGGACGGGCTCTCGAAGCTGCCCAGCGAGCTCACAGAGCTGCAGCGGCTCAGCACCAGTGGCGTCTCCTGCACGTAGTTCTCTGACGAGCTGGACGGCGTGGCGTCCTCCACCCCCAGGCCCCGGCCTCGGTTGCGCCGGGGAGCCGGGATGGCTACTGGCAGGGAGGCGGCCCCGGGCGCTGTCCACGCGCTGTCCAGCTCAGCCTCCCCGGGGCCTGCCTCCTCCAGTCCCTCCAGGGAGGAGTCACTGTCATCCAGGTCACCGCCCTCACTGGGGCCTGGGCGGCCTGCCGAGGACAGCGAGGAGAGGGAGCTGCATCGCGACAGCGAGAGCGGTGCCTCCTGCGCCACCAGCTTCTGCAGTGCCTTACTGGCAGCGGACAGTGGGGCCGCCGCGAGCTTCTCGGGAACCTTGCTCAGAGGGTCTGCCGGCAGCCAGGCCTGCTTTCGGGCCCCTGGAAGGGTCCCAGTCCCCGCGAGGGGCTCTGCACCCGCCCTTGTGGCACCCTCGAGCAGCGGCACGTGCTGGTAGGTGGGCGACAGCTTGATGGTGCGCACACGGGCATCGCCGGATGTGGCCTCCCTGGCGGGGGCCTCGGCCTGACTGCCTGGCAGGTCAAGGTCAAGACGGCTAGGCCGAGGCTGCCCACACCTGGGGTCCTCGCGGCGCAAAGCCAGTGCGGCCAGCGGGCAGGGCTGCATGTGCTCGCGTGGGCAGTACCCGTCGCTGGCACTGCCGCTGTTGAGACTGTCGTTGGAGAGGCTGGCGTGCGCCGCCTTGAGCCGTAGCAATGGGTGTCCCCGGTTGCCTGCATCCCGCCGCCCGCCCTCGGGACCGCGGCATGGCGAGCAGGACTGGGCACGGCCCTCCCGTGGCGCCTCCTGCCCGGGGTCCCCAGAGCTGAGGCTGAAGCTGTCGTCGGAGGAGGTGTGCAGGGCGGAGATGTCCTCTACCAGCCGGTCGATGCGCGCCACTGCAAGCGCCAGCTTGGCCTTGGCCTTGGCCGCCACGGCCGCCTCCCCACTGGCCTCCTTCTCCGCCTCCATGCCACCGCGGCGCGTGGGCGGGGTGCGGGCCAGCGCCTGCCCCTGCAGGAAGGGGCTGCCTAGGAAGAGTGACAGGGCTGCGGGGCTGGCCGGCTCCCCAGTGGCCGCAGCCGCAGCTAGGGATGATGGTGCATCGTCGTCATCGAAGCAGCCTGAGTCGGAAGCGTAGTCTTGAGCCAGGCCGTCCAGGTGCCGCAAGGGTGGCAGCGGCTTCTTAGCAGCAGCGTCAGCGGCGGGCAGGCCCTGCTTCTCCAGGTGCTCCAGCGCCTGTGCCAGGTGCCGCGCGTCCAGCTCGGCCTCCAGCGCCCGCTGCTTGCGCACGTACAGGCTGGGCACGCAGCTGCCCGGGGACACGGCGGTGGCGGCCGCCTGGTGCTTGGCGGGCCGGTGGGCCAGCAGGTTGCGTAGGGCGGCGGCGCTGCCCATGGCGATCATCTTGTGTTTGGAGTGCACCAGGTTCCGCAGCATGCCCACGGCGCCCAGGTCCCACAGCAGCTCCTGGTCGCGCGCGCTGCGGGCCGACAGGTTCCAGAGCGTGCCGCACGCATTGCTCACAATGGTCAGGCTGTGTGAGGTCAGGTGCTGCAGCAGCGTCTGTAGACAGTTGTGATCCCGGAGCACCTGCCTGCGGGCACAGGGCGCGTCAGTCTGGGCCACCCCCTGCCCACCCGGGGGTGGGGAGGCCGGATGTGCCAGGTAAAAGTGAACATGACTTGTTAGGTTTGGATTTCGGAAAGACTGATTTTTGGTATGAGTGTATCCTAACGATTTGCATGAGAGAGACTAAAAATAAATTGTATTTATTTTTATTTTTTGAGACGGCATTAAAAAAAGTCCAGACGCACTGGCTTGCACCTGTAATTTCAGTACTTTGGGAGGCCGAGGTAGGCAGATCAGGAGGTCAGATAGAGACCATCCTGGCCAACATGGTGAAACCCCGTCTGTACTAAAAATAAATTAGCTGGGTACGGTGGCGCGCGTCTGTAATCTCGGCTACTCGGGAGGCTGACGCATGACTATTGCTTGAACCCAGGGGCTGGAGGTTGCAGTGAGCCGAGATTGTGCCATTGCACCCCAGCCTTGCGGCAGAGAGAGGCTCCATCTCAAAAAAAAGAAAAAGAAAAAAAAGTTCCGTCTGGGCACGGTGGCTCACACCTGTGATCCCAGTTTGGGAGGCCGAGGTGGGCGGATCACTTGAGACCAGGAGTTCAAGACCAGCCTGACCAATGTGGTGAAACTCCGCCTCTACTGAAAATAACAAAAGTTAGCCGGGCGCGGTGGTGCCTGCCTGTAGTCCCAGCTACTCAGGAGGCTGAGGCAGAAGAATCGCTTGAAC